GAGCGCGGTGCGCCTGGCGGGGAGGAGGAGAAGAAGGAGGAGGAGGAGGAGGACCAGCACCCTCCAAGCTTCCTCTTTATAGGCCCCATATAAGGGTTCATTTCCACTGAGGGAAGTGCCCCGCTGGGAGGCAACTGTTTGAAGATCCTGCAGCGTGCCAAAACGCAATTCTTGGAAATCCAGCGCCACCAGTCAACCTGACTGCTGCGTCTTGACGATCCTGAATCGTCCCAGACCGTTCCTGGGACGTCAGCACTGCGAACCTACGTAACTGTTGCACCCAGACAATTCTGAATCGTTCCAAAGCAATATCCGGTACGCTTGCCATAGGGATCCGTGAGACTATTGCAATACGTAGAACAGATGTGCGCGGCGCGAAGGCGAGAGCCACATTTTGGAAACCGCCCGCCATCAATCTTTGAAGCTCTTGCAATTTTTAACGACGAGTGTGTGCGCTGCGCAGGAGAGGGCCACATTTTGAAACTCGCCCGCCCTCCATCCGTGAAGCTGCTGCAACCTTTTAAGACGAGTGTGCGCGGCGCTAAGGCGAGAGCCACATTTTGAACACAGCCCGCCCCCGATTCGTGAAGCTGATGCCACTTCGTAAGCTTCAGGATAAGGAATGGTCAGGGAGTCTCACCCGAAACGCTCGGCCCGCCCCTCCGACTGGCCTCGGGGTGCCTTTGCGAGGAGTTGTTTGGAAGGCAAGGAATGGAGGAGGTGCTGCCAATGCCGACCGACTCGGGGCTTCCACGGCCGTGTCGCCATTCGCAGGGGGAGCGGGATGGGAGGACCCTGGCAGATAAAGCTCCGCTCCGCCTCCAGTCCCATCCTCGACGATGCTCGTTCGATGCTGCACCATGGGCAATTTGGCCCGAAAAGCCCCTGGATGGCCAAACGCGTAGCCTCTTTCTCTCTTCGCTTGCGCATCGATCCAAAACGAGCTCCAGTTTGGTTGCCTAGGGCCGAACGCCCATGCAAGATGGGGCCAGTGCTCTCTGGACATAAGTTGTAGCCCCAAAGCGCCGCTTTCAGGTAGCTGGACAGGGAGGTGGAGGAGGAAGAGTAGGAGGAGGTGGAGGAAAGGAGGAGGAGGAGGAGGAGAAGCAGTGGGAGGGAGAGAAGCAGGGAGCGTGGGCGAATGTGGACGGAGGAGGGAGTAGGGTGATGAACATGATGATGGGAAGGGGTCAGGTATGAAGATGGTGATAATACGGACGGTGATGACCATGCCGATGATCATGGGGATGGTGATGGTGATCATTGCGATGACGATGGCGATGATGAAAAGCGGGACTGTAAAGACGTGTAGGATGAGGGTGATGTTTACGATGTTGCCGATGACGGTGGCAGATACGAGGAGGACAAGCACGTGATTGAGGAAGAGCCGACTCCCGCCGCCCAGCATTCGGCCCCGCTCCTCAGACTCGGGCAGGCGGCTGAGGGAAATCCTGGGGCCCTGGGGAGTGCAGGCAGGCACTGCGACCCCCCGATCTTGAGACTCATCCTCGGCGAGGCTCTGCACCAGCCGGAGATCCGCACCCGTGTCCTCCGACGGGGCCCTCAACCCCACGTCGTGCCTCTCCGTATCGATGAGAGACTGGACTGTCTTCTCCTCGAGGTCACCCTGGGCCTGCCGTGCGAGGAGGTCGCCCGTGAGCTCCGCCCAGATGAGCATGAGGCCCTCGACCTTCAGCGCCACCTCCACGTGGAGGTTCCCCCCCTGGCGGCCTGCAGCTCCCCGTCGGTGAGAGCTCGGGCCTCCATCCCGAAGATCCCGTCCTCGCGCAAATGGCTGCCTGGCGAGGTCGGTGGGACTCTCTCCTCCGTTCTGCGCGTCCACTCGCTCGAGCCTTGCCTTCCCCCTCTCGTCCTCGTCAAGGCCCCGCGCCTGGCCAGCGGCGGCGCGCCCCGGCTGGGACGTGAGAGGGGGGCAGGCCCTCTCAGGAGGCGGCGGGGCCTCTCAGCAGCCCTCCGGCCTTCTGAGAAGCCGTCTCTTCAGAGGCCCGTTTGTGGGACCTTCCCGGGGACCACCAAAGGGATCTTTTCAACTCCAGCTCGACTCCAGTTTGATGCAGGTTCGGCTCTGGTTCGACTTCTGCTCGACTCAGGTTCGACTCGAGTCGCCGGACGTTCGACTCAGCGTCGGTGCACGAGTGGACCGAGTGGCTACAGGAAGGTCCCCAGATTGACCAGAGGAGCCTCTGTCTTCGGAGAATGCTTGGACAACTTTGCAAAGGCCCGAGGCCTTCCGAGCCCTACGACAAGGCCCGCCCCCTGTGCATTCCCCCTTGGGCGCGGCGCTGAGGGCAGGGGTCGTGGCCGCTGACCTTCATCGGAACTCGCCCACCTGGCCTACAGCTCCTCGGCGATGGCGGTCTTGACCTCCGCCGCAAGAGTCCCTGCCTCGCTGAAGATCTGCCCCATGGAGGCTTTTTGCCTTGAGCTCCGTGTCGATGGGCTTCTCCACATTCGCTCGAAGTCGGTAAATTGGCATACGCCCAAACTTTTGGAGCTCCGCGTGGATTTCTTGTATCGGCGCTGGGTCCTCCTGGCGGCGCCTCCGGCGCTGAGCGCGCCAGGGAGTCCAGCGCCGATCCAAGAAATCCGCGCGGATACACACGCCCCCGTATCCCGCCTAACCTGGCTTCCTCCTGCTTCATCCCAGGCTCCACCCAGCGAAATCCCGCTTCATGACCCCTCATCGGCTTCATGAGCCTTCTGCAGTTCTTGCGAAGAGCTCTCAGGAGCTGCCTCCTTAACTCCTGCTCCTGCGCCTGCCGGCAACCCCTACTTGGTGCACTGCTCCCGCTTGGACTTCTCTCCTGCACCTTCCCGCCTCTGGCCTCCTGCGCGAGCACGTCCTTATCCTCCTCCCTCGCCTTCGAGGGCGGAGAGCAGCTCGGACAGCCCCAGCTCGAAGAACAAGCACCGCCAGAAGCATGATTTTGCCCGAGTGCCTCGTCGATCCCTGGGATAGGCGCTGGGCCAGGGGGGGATCCAGCGCCGATCCATGAAAAATCCTCGCGGACCTCCGAGAAATTATGTTTATGCTGCTGCTTTGTTCATCTGAGCAACGAGCCCGGGCAGAATTTGCAGCGAAGCGCGGGCGGGCGGCGCCGGCCTCCGCTGCGGGGAGCCACCCCCCTGGGCAGCCTCGGGGGCGCGGCGGCACCCCGGCGGGGCGGAGCGGCGAGCCCCGAGAGGCATGGGAGCCCCTCTCGCGCGCCACAGCAGCCTCGTACACTCAGCCGACCAGCTCCGCCGCGATCGTGAGATCGACGCAGGAATTGACGTGCTTCCCGACGATGTCTCCCGCCGTCCAGAGGCAATTCGGGGGCGGAGAACGGTACAAAGTTTGTACCCCTACGGTTTGGTGGCACGTCAGGGTATAAACTTTCCAGCCGCCCTGGGACAGGCGCCCCGGGTGACGAAACAGTTTATTTTGTATCGTTCTTCGCCCGCCGAGGTGAGGGACCGCTGGAGCACGGCCCTACGTTGGGTGGCAGCTTTAGCTCGCGCGAGCCCGCTTCGCGCCGCCCTGACTGGACATGACCGCTAGCGCGCCTCCCTGAACCTGCCGCAGAGCGCGCGTCAGCGAGGGCCTCTTGAAGCTTGGCTCCCTTGGGCCCCAATGGCTACGGGCGAGGAACATTAGTAGTAGTCGTCGTCGTCGTCGTCGTCGTCGTAGTAGTAGTAGTAGTAGTAGTAGTACTAGTAAAAATAGTAGAAGCAGTCTTAGTAACAGCAGCAGTAGTATTCGTATTCGTATTAGTATTAGTATTCGTATTCGTATTAATAATAGTAGTAGTCGTAGTCGTCGTAGTAGTAGTAGTAGTAGTAGTAGTAGTAGTAGTAGTAGTAGTAGTAGTAGTATAAGTATTAGTGTTAGTTTCAGTATTATTATTATTATTAGTAGTAGTAGTGTTAATATTAGCATTAGTAACAGTATTAGTATTAATATTAGTATGAGTACTAGTATAGTATTAGTATTTGTATTAGTATTAGTACGAGTATTAGTAGTAGAAATTGTATTCGTATTAGTACTAGTCTTAGTATTCGTATTGTCATTCGTATTCGTATCAGTACTTGTATTAGTATTAGTATTCGTATTATTATGAGTATTATTACTTGGAGTAGTAGTATCAGTAGTAGTCGTAGAAGTCGTAGTATGTATTAGCAGTCGTAGTAGCAGCAGTAGCAGTAGTAGTAGTAGTAGTAGTAGTAGTAGCAGTCGTAGTAGTAGTAGTAGTAGTAGTAGTAGTCGTAGTAGTCGTAGTAGTAGTAGTAGTAGTAGTAGTAGTAGTAGTAGTAGTAGTAGTAGTATTAGTATTATTATTATTATTAGTAGTAGTAGTAATAGTAGTAGTAGTAGTAGTAGTAGTAGAGTAGTATAAGTATTAGTGTTAGTATTATTATTAATATTAGTAGTAGTAGTGTTAGTACTAGTATTAGTAACAGTATTAGTCTTATTATTAGTATTAGTACTAGTATAGTATTAACATTTGTATTCGTAGTAGTACGAGTATTAGTAGTAGTATTTGTATTCGTATTAGTACTAGTCTTAGTATTCGTATTGTCATTCGTATTCGTATCAGTACTTGTATTAGTATTAGTATTCGTATCTTTATGAGTATTATTACTTGGAGTAGTAGTATCAGTAGTCGTCGTAGAAGTCGTAGTATGTATTAGCAGTCGTAGTAGCAGCAGTAGCAGTAGTAGTAGTCGTAGTAGTAGTAGTAGTAGTAGTAGTAGTAGTCGTAGTAGTAGTAGTAGTCGTAGTAGTAGTATTCGTAGTAATGGTATGAGTAGTTCGTAGTAGTAGTAGTAGTAGTAGTAGTAGTAGTAGTAGACGTAGTAGTAGTAGTAGTAGTAGTAGTAGGACTAGTAGTAGTAGTAGTAGTCGTAGTAGTAGTAGTACTACTAGTAACTGTAGTAGTACAAGTCGTAGTAGTAGTAGTAGTAGTAGTAGTAGTAGTAGTAGTAGTGGTAGTAGTAGT